TTTACTTATATAAAAGAGCCATATTCCTTCAAAAGGAGGTAACGACTATTCTGTTTAGCCAAATAACTGATACATTTTTCGTTAACCTTTCTTTTAAAGCTTTTTGTTATATTTCTCTGCACTTGCTTCCCCCCACACTCTTTTTCAAATGAATTTTCATTTAGTTCTTTTTCTAGTCACAATATTGAAGGTAAGCATCTATGAAAGATTTATGACTACCTTTCATCCTCAACTTATTGCCTCTTCTGGATAGACAGTGAGATAATTTGATATATTTGGTTTGGGCAGAATGTGAATTTTATTGATTCTTCATTAACTTGCATTCTTACATACCCATTGTAAAAATGGCATTGTAAAGCAACCACATGACATATTTTGCTACCACATTTTTTTCATATATTCAGTGATCAGATCATACATCTATTTTTTCATATATTCTCACCACCAAAATCAGTATCATCAGGTTCTGTGATAAGGAAATAAAGTTTAAAAGGATAGCATCTTTAAAATAAAATAAATGCCTTTATTAATGGCCAAAGTATTTCCTGTCTTTAAATGGAAATTATTAAATTATATAAATAGATCTTTTTGAAGTCTTCTAAATTATTAAATCAAGTCCTGTGATTTAGCAGAATCCTAAATTACTATCACTTACTGGGATTCCACTGTTAGAAATTAAGAAAAATATCCTAAGTTCTAGCAGTATATATTTTTCAAGTATAATAACATATCCATGGAATAATTTGTAGCAGCCTTCATGATAGAAGTGTCAGTCTTTTCTTTTTTTGGAAAAATATTTCTGAAGTTGATCAAGGATAAATGTACTACAAAGACTGCTAGCCAATCAAGAATAGGGGACACAGTCTCACAAAAATAAATACAAGATCAATACTCTATCATAGTGAAAGCACTAAGCCCTCCTGGCCTCATTAATGTCCATTTATCTTATCCAAGCATAATTTGTGCTCCTTAACAGGACAATAACCTCCCTTCTGCCTGGGTGATGAGATTGACAATTGGTGCTACCCTTAACATTTTAAACCAGGACAGTTTAAGGGCAATGATTGTTAAATTCTTTGATTCTGTTTCCTATCACAGAGCATTAGCTTACCAAGAGGAAAACAAGCATCAATTACTATAGTTGCTATGCTTCATCTCAATTTAAGGGGCACTACATACCCCTTTTTTTCCTTTCCACTTCTACAAATGTTTCTGGATCTCATACTGAAGTACAACTGTTTAACCCAGCATGGAAGAATAGCATGTTTAATGGCTTGGATCTTTCAAATACTGTAATTTTGCCCTCTGGAAATGCCACTGTTAAAATGGAGCTGAAGAATTCTGGAGATGTTGCCATCAGTTTGGCCCCGAAATATCACAGGGACACTTCTAGTATCTAGTCTTCTACTCTGATTATTAGAGCTATATTCCTATCAAATTTGCCATAAGATGCAGTATATAGGTATCTCAATGACATGTTTTATTTTCTGTCTGTCATGGTCATGCCAAGTTACACCCCTTTATATTATTTACGTTAAGTCACGGCTGTCAAACTCACCGTCATGTGACATGTCACAACGTATCGCGACTCTTTTTGCATTGCCAGCAATGGGGTGGGCGCGGCTTCGGTATGATGAAACCGGCCCGTCTGCCAGCAGTTTGACACTCCTAATGTAAGTGATGTGCATGAGGCTGAAGAATAGGACCATATTTCTTGTTTCTTTCTGTTGAATAAGAGATTACAAAACTGAGCATTTGAGGTTGGCTGTATGATTACAAATCAGCATCCTAATCTAAGGAATCAGAAAGGGAAAGAAGAGAAAGAGGGATAGTAGTAAGAGATGGGGAAATGTCTCAAAAGAGAGGAGGACAGTGGTGGGATTCAAATATGTGAACAACCGGTACTCTGTGTGGATGCTGCTTCTGGAAGTCCATTTTGGGCCTGGGCAACAAAAAATTAGCTACCGGTTCTGCTGAAGTGGTGCGAACTGGCTGAATCCCACCACTGCAGGAGGAAAGTCAGGTTTTGCTAGCTATATGTTAGAATAAGTAACACACAATTGTTAGAAGCATTCTTTTTTTTCCCTTTTAAATCCATCTTCCTTTAATTATAGGGCTGGGCTCTACCAAAAGTGCAATAGTTCATTATTTTTAGACACAGGGAGCTCCCTCCCATTTCATCTTACATTCTTCCTCTGTCCGCTGGGCTATTTCTGAGTAGAGCTTTTATGATTCTTGACTGCTAAATCTGTGTCCAGCAGCAGCCTAAGGAAGAGAGCTCACAGATACGGTGGAGGTGTTGCATTGGGTGTACCCCTTTCTACTTCAGTCCATCTCCCATATATCCCAAATCCCTAAGAACTGCGGGAGAATGTCAGCGTTCCCTAATTAGTCCAGTTTTTGCCCGATCACCTGCTCCTCAAATTAATTACAGCCAGTTAGCAGAACTCATAACTTCCTAAAGAGACGCGCGTGCAAAATGCACTCCTTCCACGGGTACACGGGTGACCAGACGTTGAGAAACATCATTCCGAAGTCGGAGGCCGAAGGTAAGTCCTGCCACATATTAGCAGCAGACAGAAACCAGATTTAAAGGGCTGTAATAAGGCACCACCACGGAGAAAATTCCATCCACATATAGGCAAATACTTGCCTATATATTTGCCATATCAGCAAATACTCGCCAGTTCTGCCTCCTAAAAGAACACGCTATAAGCAGGCGGAAATCTGAAGTGTAAACAATGTACGTTTAGCTTGGACACAAGCGACTCGCCGAGAGGAGGGTCACCCGGGAAGGCTTGGCCTCTGTCTGGCCCTGCCCCTTCCTTCTGGCTCCGCCTGGGCTGGTTGCGTCAGCTCCCAATAGCTCGAGGTGCTGAGCGGTGAGGGGAGCTGTCCAGAGGCGTTGAGTGCTGAAATCGTGGCCGCTCGAGTCAGCTGCGCCCTCTCCCCTCTCTTCTTCTCTTCCCCCCCCTCTCCAATTCTTTCCGCTACTGCCGCTAATTTCTCGGGCCCATTTTCTACCGGGGAAGATGTTTCTTCCCCGCTCACACCACAAACGGCTTATTGACAGTGATTGCCGGCGGTGGAGATGGCGTGGGATGGGAGACCAAGACTGGGTTGCAACTTAAATTTATCCTCCTCCCCTTGCCTTTTCGGTCTTAGCTTTATTTATTTAAGGATTGGACAAGAGGTGGAGGAGGAAGAGGAGGCGGAGAAAGAACCACGTCCCACCCAGCCTCCCTCACTCCCGCCCTTCTTCAACATCCCTATTTGCACCGCAAAACTATCCTTTCCCATTGCATCCCAAGGAGGTAGCAACAGCCACATCATCACGGGAAGCCGGATGGAGAGTTGAGAAAGGCTGCCGACCAAGAGAAGCCAAACTGCCGAGACGGGGAGGGGAGGTAGAGAAGCTGCAAGCGAAACAACCCCCCCCCCCTTTTTTTTTTTTTTTTGTCGCCGAGCTTTGAGTCTGGCGCGTCGTCTTTCTAGGGAACCTTCGCCTTCTTTTTGGCAATTCTCTCTAGCAAAGCGAGGATCCGATCTACGGCTGTTGGTTTGTGTGTTTCCTCCTTTTATTTTAAAGACTTGCAATGGTTGAGCGTCAATGCCATTGAGCGAAAACAAGCATCAGAGAAGGAGGAGAAGGAGAAGGAGAAAGAGGAGGAGGAGGAGGAGGAAGAGGAGGATAGGAGAAGACGAGGCAGATGCAACGGGAGAGAGTTGTAGCGGCGTCTTTTTCATCAAAGGGAGATCCCTGCATCTGCTGAATGCACCTTTTCTTCCGCGTCAGCCACGATGGTCTGTAAGACTGTCACTGCGTTTGATGACGTTCCTGTTTTGTGAAAAGGGGAAAGGAAACGTGACGATGTAAGATCCAGATTTCGCTGAATCAATTTCATGCAAAAGGATCTCTTAGAACTCGACGGATGTGTGTTTGTCTCAAGCCCAAGACGGAAAACAATTATGGAATAACTCAGATTTAGGTCCTCTCCCCAATTATCGGGTTTTGTTTTGTTGGGTTTTTTTTCCCCCAGTGGTTGCGTGTGGTCCAGACAGTTCCTCGAACGCGGGAGGTAAAGCAAAATCCAGCCAATCTTGGAGTCAAAATTAACCCCTTCTAATATTCACTTTCTTTCAGGACTTTTTCTATTTCTATTCAGAATATTTTAATAAAGTAGTAAATGGAACATCCTACGGGGAATTAAAATTAAGCATGTGTTTCTCTCTCTCTTCATGAAAAATGTGCTTTTTTTCCTTTGGGTTAGTGAAATCCAATTTTGATATTACTATTCTTAATGATGGCGATAGCAACAGAAACTATTTTTGCATTTTAATGATTATTGTCTCTACTGTTGTTCTATCAAAAGCACATTTTTAAACGTTCCTAAGTTTAAAAACTAATAATAAGGAGACTATTTGTTATGTCAAATACTTTTGAGCGAACCGTTTCTTCCCTCTCTCCACACTTTCTAGTGACTTGAATTCTCTCTCCCTCATTAACTTTCTGCTTCTGGAATTATCAGTTTCCTTCTCGATATTTCTTTGAACTAGCCTACCCAGCACCTAAAGGGTAGAACGCTTGTTCCTATTTTATTTTATTCTTTTTGTTACAAAAATTTCTGGGATTATTTATTTTTTAAAAAGTGGGTGGGAAGGAGACTGAAATTTAATACTTTACTTTTTAAAAAGGAGAGAGTTGGTGGAAAAAGAGGGGGGGGAGTCATTATCTTTTGCCCGCATGCTGTGAAATATACAAAAAAAAATCTGCCAATTTTCCAGTTTTGTTAGTAAACTAGTCTGTCTCGTTGAGGGTAGGGTCGGAGCCAAGGGAAAGGAAGCGGAAGTGAACCAATTCAACCCTCTTGTTCTTGTGCGCCCTCTACCGGCCTGCATTTTTCTTGCCCGCGCCTGTCTGAAAGAGAAGGCACATGTTAATATCAACTCGCGTGATCGTTTTATGGTACTGTTGCTCTGGACTATTGATCCCCATACAGATGTTGCACCATCAGGGTCTCCTCAAGTGCCGCTGCCGCATGTTGTTCAATGACTTGAAGGTCTTCCTTCTGCGGAGACCCCCGGCCCCTCCTCTGCCCTCGCCGCTGCCTCTCCCTCCCATGAGCAGAACAGACCAAGTCTTGAGTTTACAGGCGTCTAATAACAACACGCTGACTACGCTATATGGAGGGCTACGGGCACCTCGGAGAGCGCCGACTGACGGGGGTGGTGGTGGTGGTGGTGGTGGAGGAGGAGGAGGAGGCATCACGAGCCCTCCAGAAGAAGAGTGGGAAAGCCCTGGGGGAGAGGGAGAGCTTCCCCCGATTGTGATGAGCAGCGCCTCCTCCGACGACTTCTGCAAAGGGAAGGCGGAGGATGGGTATTCGCTGGGGAGCAGTTTGGATAGTGGAATGAGAACGCCTCTCTGCAGGATCTGCTTTCAGGGCCCAGAGCAGGTGAGTGTATGAATGAAACCAGTGGGGTCCCCGGTAAAGACTGTCTAGTAGGTGTGAACTGGCACCTGCACACCTTTCTAGTTGAAGTCTTCTGGCTACTTTCTCTTCCCCCATCCCACTTCACTTGGGACACCTCCAGCTTCATTCCTTCCAAAAGCTGTCTTAAGGTTTTGACATTAAGACACCAACTGGTGGGGATTGCCAAGCTTGTCTGTACTCTATAAAGTTTGGAGAGAAAGAACTAAGGAGCAGAATGTCCCAACCTGTAACTTTTTAATAGAAAGAACAGGCCCATGGCATAGCAACAGGAAAAGCTCAGGACACCCATGTACAAATGAAGGAAAGCTGTATCACCAGGGCCAAGCATTTGTGTGGTTGCCTGAATACACAAAGCTAAAGTCAAGGAGTTTATAGTAGAAGAGATCAAGGATCATCTTGATAGGTGATTTGGTAACTGAACTTGTTCTCCTTCATTTCTGCTTCAGTTTTCCATTACACTCCTTCTCTCTCCACTTGGTGTTCTCACTTAAGTTGTGTTAGTCTGTGATATCCATTATCCACAACCTTCAAAATGCTGCCAGGGGATGATAGCAGATACATTACTATACAACTGGAAAGTGCTGGACGAGAAAAATTAATGCTACTTCACAGCAAGTTAAGGGGTGTACTTCCTTCTAACAGATCTGAGTGAAAGAAAAAGCCTATTTTGTGGATTTGTTTTGCAAATTGATACTCTTTAGTGAAAGAAGCTTAAAACACTCCTTTTTGAAAATTAATATGCTTGTGTTATCTCTCTAGATCAGGGCTGTCAAACTTGCAATGTCTCGTGACGTGTCACGACGTATCGCAACTTTTTTTCCCATTGCCGGCAATGGGGTGGGTGTGGTTTCTCCATGATGCATCTGGCCCATGGGCTGCCAGTTTGACACCCCTGCTCTAGATCAATAATATAAAAATATCAACTTTATTTCAACTTTGAACTTTCTTGGATACAACCAGTAATCATTCCAATTTAAAGCCTATTTGTGTCTTTTTATTGCTGTTTTCCTGTTGTGTCTGGATATTTTCATAACTTTTGTTGAACTGTTGGATGTGTTGAACTGGATATTTTCATAATTTTTGTTGAACCTTGATGGAGAAAGGTGTGATTTTCTGAAAAGTTTGTAGTCAGTACTCTGTGTATACCAATATCCCAGAATCATCATGAAAGAATTAACTTGTGTTGCAATGACTTTATTCTGTTTCAGGTGATAGATGCACACTGTAGGCTTGCTCTATAAAACTACTAACAAGTTCAGCAGTATGTTTGTGTACTTAATTGATTTCATATCTTAAAAATGGCTCTGAACTAGCTATAAAGTTTTTTCCATATATTTTATTTAGATCAAATTAAGCTATATACAGGTAGTTCCCAACTTACAACCACATTGGGACCACAATTTCTGTTGCTAAAAAAAGGAGTTGTTAAGTGAGTTGTACCAAATTTTGTGACCTTTCCTGCCACAGTGGTTAAGCGAATCATGTGGTTATTAAGCGAATCCAGCTTCCCCCTTTGACGTTGCTTGTTGGAAGTTGGCTGGGAAGGTCGCAAATGACAGTCACACCAACTTGGGATGTTGCAATAGTCATAAATACATGTTGGTTGCCAAGCTCTCGAATTGTGATCACGTGACCATGGGGATGCTCCAATGGCAAGTGCAAAAACTGGTTGTAAGCAACTTTTTTCAGTACTGTGGTAACTTTGAACGGTCAAAGTTCAAATGACTATAAGCAGAGGAACTACCTTTAGGCAGGTTATAGTAGACAAATATGCAGCAATAGACACAATAGTTGATAAATGCCCAGATTACATAAAACAATTGACTACTAATTTCCCTTTTGTCATCAAGCAGTTTTATTTTACAGCAGAACGGGTATGCACTGTTTTCCTGTCATGGCTGAACTACAATTCACGCAAACTCAGGCAACGTGATAAATGTAGGAATGCTGAGAATTGTTGTTCAGCAACACCAGGAGGGCCATAGGCTCCCCATCTCTGTACAGATTCAGTTTCACAGTGGAAATTTTTTAGCTCTGGGCCAAGTAAGTCTTTTTTGTTTCATAAAATCAGATCCCATAGCTTTACAAGACAAATTACACATTGACTAATAACCAAATGCAGATGTTCGGATTAATATGAAGATTAGAAAAACATTTTCCTGATAAATAATTTTGTTAAAACTTGGTAATATAATACACGTATCATATCAAATATATCAAATTCCCTATCCTTGTACTTTTTCTTATACTGTTTTAATTTTAAAAAATCAACAGGAAGCTGGCGGGTTGCAAATTTGCTAGTATCCTCTTTATTACTAATAATACTTCTGGGTTTTGTATTATTTTCACACTTAGAAAATTAAACTACTCGTGGTTATAGCCCAGAGTTTTATTTGGCAATGTGCCCTCTCCCCACCTTCACTTTGTAAAAAAGACTACAAACAGTGTTAAACTTCATTCAAGGGACTAAAGAAGACTTTGTGTCACTAATTAAAAAAGGTTATTTAGCCCCCAAACAAGGGGATAATACATAAATTCTTGACCAGGGAGTCACAAATCCCTCAAACATTCATAGATACATTTCAGGGGATCCATGAACTTGGATGGGAAAAGAAATCAACTTTATTTTTCACTAGCCTTTATGCTTTATTTAGCTTTTCGTTCAATAGTGCATTTGGCAGTGAAGTAACTTATGGCCTTTAGTCTCCAAAAAATGACATTTCACTCTCTAAAATTATAATACCCTCCAAAGGTATTGTTTTGGTATTGTTAATATATTACTAAAGAAGCATATCATGATATTACATAGGTTATTTTTTCATATTTTAATAATTATACTTGAGCATAATCGGTTGCCTTTGTACTACAGTCTCTATCCATGCCTTTTAATATATTTTTCTGGGAGGGACTTATAATTTCACCAGTCTCTAAAAGGAATTCATGTCACAAAAAAGGGTTAGAGCCAATTTGTTTTAGTGGTTAAGGCACCAGGCTAGAATCTGGGAGACTGGAAGTTCTAGTCCACCTTAGACATAAAAGCCAGCTGAGTAACTTTGGGCCAATCTCTCTCTCTCTTGGCGCAACTCACTTCACAGGTTTGTTGTCCTAGGGAAAATAGGAGAAGGAAAGATTATGCCATCTTAGATATGTCTGCTGCTTCTTTGTCCTGCCTTTATTATTTTTATAAATAACTGCCTTGAATTATTTATAAAAATAATGAAGGCAGTACAAAAATAACTTTAAAAAAGAGTCATTGGGATAATAGAAATGCTGGTGTTTAGAAGAGAAATGAATTGCATCTTAAATCGATTGATTCAGAAATTGACCAAAGTCTTCTTGAATAATTAGCTTCAGTGAAAGATTCTTCAACATGGGTTGTTAATACCTAGGCAAACTCAATCTTAGGCATAGCAATCATAGCATTTGATAGGAAAGCTCTTCAAGCTGCAGCACATGAAATTAGCCTGAACTTGAATAGGTTAAACCTATTAATTGTTAATGCAGCAACCAACAGATTTCTATCAAATGTTATAGACTTTTCAGTTGGACATAGAATGGATTAAATTTGAGATTTTAGCAGAGTTTCCTTCCCCACTGTAAGGAATTGATTTATCATGCTAAATTCTAAACGGTTTTTATTCTCAAAATGGAAATGTGTAAACAAAAAAAAAAAAACCACCTTTCTAAGAGTGCTTTCAAATTTGTATCATTGAGGTAGACTGGGCCTTATAGCTGAAAAAAAAATCTGAAAAGATCCTGCACACTTTTTCTCCAAAAACCTATGTAGAACAACAAAAGACACCAATGCAAGATTCTCTGAACGTTACTGAAGTGTTCTTTGCATTCTGTTGATTTTAACCATGTTTTGTCGAATCAACTATAATTAATTCAATTTACACATTGTGTTAAACCTATAATTCATTGCTATAATTGAAGACTGCTAATCCATTAAGGGGCTTCTTTTGTTTGGTGTAGCTTGTTGGGTGAAGCCTGGTAAGTTCCTGAAGATGTAGGTATACTTTGCAGGATTTATGCATGGGCTGAAGAAAAGGAGAGGAATTTATATAGTTCCCTAATAAAGTGTGTGATTTACAGTATATGCATAGCCTCCATGCAAATCATCAGCTGAAAACAACAATTCTAGATGTTTGGAAAGACCTCTGCCTGAAATTTGAGTGGCTGTTACTCAGAAGAGATGAAACAATGGAGTTCACATTGTCCAAACTGTGTAGTGTAGTTAGTGGCACTGTATACTATAGTGGCATAGATATTTAAGGCATATAGTTGGTTGGATCCTCTGACTCTTTCTTGAGCACAGGGAAAGATGTAGGGCAGTGATGGCGAACCTTTTAGTACCCCAAAACCACTCCGCCCCCTGCCCCACCCCCTCTGCTCTGCCCTCTGCCCCACCTACTCCATCCCGCCTCCTACTCCACCCACTCTGCCCTGCCCCACCCCCACCCTCCGCAAGGCCACCTACCACCTCCATGGCCCACTGCGGCAGGTTACCCAAGTGGCCCTGCAGCACCATGGTGGCCACACAGCAGATGATGCTGCGGGTTGAAGGGGTGGAGTCTTGTACCTGCTGCCTGGCTGCCGTGTCCTATACTGCTCTGCACGGGTCATGACTGAGGGCGACTCTCCTCCGGGGGGGGCTGCTGGTGAGGAAGGGGCTGTGGGGGAGGCGGGGCTATGGTGACAGCGCGTGTGCCCATGGAGAGGGCTCTGAGTGGCGCCTCTGGCACATGTGCCATAGGTTCGCCACCACTGATGTAGTGGGTCTCCAAGCCTCTACATCACAATTTCTTCCATTGCATTTTCTTCCCTTGATGGGTAGGAGATGTCAGTGTGGTCACTGCTATCACCAATTTTTGCAGAAAAGAAAACTCTGCACCTTTCTCTTAGGAAGAGAGACATGTAGGCTCTTTTCTCTCTCTGCTTCTTGCCCTTTTGTAGTTAGC